TTCCCTTCTCCCAGGCGTGCTGGAACAGTTTGGTAATGCTCTTGTATGGCAGTCAAAAATGCTAGAAATTTCTAATGATTTTAATGTGTATCAGCATGAAATGTCGATGCCTCTAGATTTAAGTGGTGTTTCTCATATATATTGTTCTGAACAGAGAACGTTTAAAGCCTGAATAAAGGAACCTGTGAAAATAAATTGCATTTTAAATAGCAATATGGCTAATAAGCATATTGCTAGTAATATAGCAATTTGGCTACTAAAGCTCCTAAGCATGATTTGAGAGTCTAGATGCATGAAGCAAATGTCCTGGTAGACTTATGCTGACTTTAGTATCAAGTCAGCTTGAGTCTACCAGAACGTTTGCTTCGTGCTTTGAGGCTTCTGAAAGTGTGTCTGTGTGTGAGTATAAATACACGTATACATATATGTACAGAAATAAGTTTCTCTGAACCCAGGGAGGCTTTGGGGACAATGCCTGCTTTTCCACATGTCGTATCTGCATATGTTATCTTATCTGTAGTTTGTCTGATATGCAGAGTATCAGATAAACTGCCACTTAACAGTGAAGAGCTGACTGCCTTGCATTATTTTGACAACTTGAATAATTGTGTAATTTTGTTTTTGCATTTTAGGTTATAAAATAATGGTAACGGGGCGGCCATTTCCCTGAAGTTCAGGTTTTCAGGCTCGCTGCCATTATGGGTGAGTGTTGTGCACATATCATATATAAAAATTTGATTCTGTTGCATTTTCTTCCTAGTGAAGATCAAAAGCATTTGTATAATGCTTTCTTTATACATTCTTAGGAAATGTGTATTTGGGCTGTGTAACTCAATGTAATGTCTACATGAAAAACAGAGTTCAGCTGCTTTGTTAAACCTAAAGTATTTTGCATATTTCTCACTGGATTGTAACACTGTTCCCTAGGTATTTCCTAATATGAAAAATGGAAATTCATGGCTATTGGGGTACTGAGCAATACTTAATGTGATCTGAATTATGACAATTAAAAAAAAATCTAAATCTGCATATTAGATCATTACTGTATTGTCGTGTCACTGCTGTGCACTGGAACTCTCTAGATGCTTGAACTATACTCCTTGAAGTCTGTACCGTGTTTCTTAAAATTTTATCTCAAGTTTTGAATTTGTATGTGCTTTTTAATGAGATGCAAATGTCAGCCCTATTTTCCGTTAGTGATGCTCACTCAAAAATACTGTGCTTCTGTGTAACTTTTATCTTTTTTAACTTATAATAAGGTAGCTGAATCTAGGAAGTACTACTTACATTTGTGATATTCTTCAACATTTTATAACTTTGGCTTCGAGCTGTACTGGATATTCAGTGAAGTTGTGAAGTAAATTTTATCGCAGTGCAGTGGTTGCTTTTGTATCAAGTGAGCTGATAGTGAATGCTGGGGATTAGACCTCCTTCAAGTAGCTGCTAAAGAAAGTTTTTTTTTCTCACGCAGCACTGGAACACAATAAAATAAGTGAGCCCTTTCAGCTGTGGCAGGTTTTGAAGTATGTTGTGTTGTGGGGAAGAAGTAACTGTCAGCTGCAAGAATGCTGTCAGTCTTCTGGTAAAATCTGCCTTTAGTGATTTATGTATCCTGGTTATGAATTTTGACAGCATGACTGGCGAACAAAGTTAATTTTCAGACCAACTTTCTGGTTTATTAATTTAGAAGACTGAAATCCCCCAAAATCTTATTTCCTGATTTGATAAACATATTTGCTTGTATTTGAACAAAGTGTCAAGAAATTCTCTCATCTTCACTGAATACCTGGTGTGTTTGCTTGCAAGTAATTATGCTGAGTTTTCCTCACTGAAATACTGATCTTCGGAAGTCAGAGGATTTAGTTATTAATTCTACAATCCCTTTAGCAAGCAGCCTGAGGATGGGTGCTTAACGACTTTGTAGATAAATTGTTACCCAGTGTTCTAGATAGCTGTTGATTAGAGTACTGCTGTTGTGACAAGGAATTAACACAAAGTAAGGATGTCAAATACCTTTTGTTTGCAGTGATGGATATGCAGGCCTTTGAGTACCTAACTGCTGAACTGTTTTAAGGAGTGGAGATGCTCCTCTGAGAGTTCCTGTAATGATGCTTCCTGTGTGAATAAGGCTGGCTGTTCAGGACAGAACAGAAATGATGCTCAAAATAGCCTTTGCTTTTTCTCCTTTGTTTTGAACTAGAACAAAAATCATTATTGCTACTTAGGGTCTCATAATTTTTCCTTCATATTGTTTGGGTTTTATTTGAAATTGAGTATTTTTTTGATAGACAATTATGTTTTAAACTCTAATATCTTCAGATTTTAGTGATGGCTGCTTAATAGTAAAATAATATGATAATTGCTTTAAATGTAGCAGACTTTGTAACTCTTCCTCTTTTATTTTTTTATTTTTCTCCACCTTGGTTTTCTGAGCAGATGAGCAGCAAGCTTTGAATTCAATCATGCAGGATTTGGCTGTGCTTCATAAGGCCAGTCGTCCTGTATTGCCCCAGCAAGAATCAGGAAAACCAAAGTCATCATCACCTAAAAAACAGGTAATCTTTTAATAGTCTTACTAACCTATTGAACATTGTATGTCCTGCTGTGCCTTCCCTAATTATTTTCTTTACCAGACCAGTGAGCATAGCAAAATGAGTTATTACAGTCTCCCACATGTACTGCCATTTTCTTTGTTCATGTTCTTAAATTAGCAGCAAAATGAAACAGCAGAATTTCAGGACAGATCATAGCGTATGCTTATATGACTCTAATCCTGATAAAATAATGCTGTAATCTTCAATTTTACATGTATATAGATTTTTTTTTTCCATTGGCTACTACTAGGTTCTGTATTAAAATACCAAGGATGTGCTAGCATCTTTCATTTGATGTGAATTTGGTAGTTTCAACTATGTCATATTAAAGGATTTCAGCACAGCAGTAGAAAATAATTTAAATTCCTTCATTGCATCTTTGGGGTATGTGGAGAAGGTCTGGGTTAATTTTTCGTTTGTTTGTAGGTTAGAAATGTGAGTTCTTTTCAGCTGTGATTCTTTTTCTCTCTTTCTGTAGATGCTAAAGACAACTGGAAAAATAGTGAATACTTGCACTGATAGAGTTGAACAATATTTGGGAGAATGTGCCCCATGTGGGTTTTTTGTTAGCTTTGGTTTTAAGATTAAGTGACAAGGAGACAGCCCATAGGCATATAGTAGATGAGACAGTTATTTTTTTTCCACTTGGAGTATTGTTACATTTTGAAGGGAAACAACTTGTGTGGCAAGAAGTGCTACAGAGTGAATACTTGCACTGATAGAGTTGAACAATATTTGGGAGAATGTGCCCCATGTGGGTTTTTTGTTAGCTTTGGTTTTAAGATTAAGTGACAAGGAGACAGCCCATAGGCATATAGTAGATGAGACAGTTATTTTTTTTCCACTTGGAGTATTGTTACATTTTGAAGGGAAACAACTTGTGTGGCAAGAAGTGGTATGGATAGTTCGAAATATTAACTGCCAAATTAAAAACTATTATGTTTGTGCATTGCTACTCATTTATGCACGATCTTGCAGAAATTGGAACAGTACATTCACTAAGTAGTACCCAATATTTTGTCTTAGGAATGTTTGCTGGCTGAAGGGAACTACCGTTATGAGCATTTTAAAACATGCACTTGACTTAACGTGTAAAAGAATAATTGTCCTCTGTTCCTAATCTAAGATTCTATCTGATACCTCAGCAGAGAGATTTAGTCAAAATGTTTGGTAAATCAGGAAGAGGACAACTGCCTAAAGATTATGCTTATGGCCTTGGATTATTGAATCGTTGCTGTGCTTAGAAGAGGTGGTAACTAAAGTGGTTTCTCTGTCTCTTTTATTCCAGAATGATGTTAGAGTCAAATTTGAACATCGAGGTGAAAAAAGGTAATGTGGGAATACAGAAATTATATTTTTAATTAAATTATTAATGTAGTTACTATTAAATGTTAGTATTGGCATTAACCAAATAATTTGTTATTAAACAGCTAATGATTAAATGATATTCATATTATTTTAATTTTTCCAATGCATTATTGCACCTGAGTGCGTACTAATACATTATTATTCTAACACTGGAGTAAGAAACCTAGGTCTTTCAGCTCAATAGTGAATTATGCTTTGGAGAACCCAGTTTGAGAACTGTAATGCAATATTTATTAGAGTTTCTAACAAGATTGTTCACATAGGTGTATTAAATTTATTTTCATCTTGTTCCTTGGGAGGTGAACCTTGTGTGTGCTTGTAGCGTACTGACATCTCTGTACACCTCTTCTCTGATGGCTGCTCAGAACGCTTCACCTTTGCTTTCAATTCCATGCAGAGCTGGTTTGCAGGCAGCTCGTTTTGTCCGGTTGCCTCTTTCTGAAAGGATAAGCCTTAATTGTACCTACTGAGAAATGAATATGAATGAAAAATCTCTGAAAATAATTAAAAGGGAAATAACATCCTGATCATGTTATTTGTTATTGAAATGTAAACCTTTTAATCAAGAATTGCTTCACAATGAAACTTGTACTTCTTGTTGTAATCCTTAAGGATGTGCAATAGATCAGTGTGTATTTGTGGTAGTTGCAACATGTGCCCCCTCTTTACCGGAATTAAAAAGGAGCAGTAAGTTCACTAGCCATTAATATTCTTCAGCATCTTTCTATCACTCTTCTGAATATCAAATGTAACAGTGCATAAATGGTCAAGTGTTATAATTGATGCCAAATAAATGAGTCTTGACAAAAGCTTTTAAGCTTAAGGATTTTGCTACCTAGAGATTTGTTGTGAAATAAGCAGAAGTATGAATTTAAAATGGAGAACTATTGATTATTCACTCTGAGTCTGCACTAGAAGAATACTGCTGTAGCGTATCAGAAATGCATATCATACATTTCAGAATGGGTTAAGCTAAAAAATCCAATAGGAATACAGGCATGAAGTAAGTGCATTAAATGGCTATTATTGCGTGCTGATAAACCAAATAGAGTTTAGAGTTGTCCAAAGTACCTTGGATCTTCTTGCCCAGGGATCCTGGGCAGACCAGCCACATTGCTCAGCATGAGCTCTAATGCTTTTGTTGCCTAAGCGTGTAGATCTAAAGATAAAATAATGAAATGATGCAAGAAAAGATAAGTTAGGCAATTGCTTTCTCACTAGGTTTTTAAAAGGGGAAGTGGAAAAGAGAAGTGATCCTGGAGTTCGTTTGAGTGGTGAACATGGCACCGTGCACCGAGGAACGTGTGCTCTAGTGGGCAGAGTTCCAGATCTGTAAAACAAATAGTTAACTGAAGTGAAAACTGATATCTTTTAATAATTGGAAGTGAAGTAGCTTTTAGCCTTATTTTGATGAGAGGGTACTGTTTCCTAAGCAGTGTACCAATTAAAACACCGATCAAAGGGACCAATAGCCTTTGCTAATTTCCTGCTTCACAAAATCCAAGCATTGTTTCCTCCTTGAATGTGCAACTTGAGTGTGTCTCACTAGCTTTGTAACTTATAAACATCAAAAACTTTTGTTTTAATGATGTTCCTCCTGAAATAATAGAATTGTTTACTGTAGTGAGGATCTATTTTAGACATTTGGAACATTTGGTTTGGAGATACTCAGTTAACAGAAAATTTGGGTCGTTATTCTACAATTACATTATTTTATGGGAATATATTTAAAGAATCACAGTCAGTGTGGATGGATTTAGAAGTTTATGTAGTTTATTGTAAAGATTATGATATTTAGTTACCTTCAGATGTGAGGGTTGGCTGGACATGCAAAAAGTGAGGACTTCAGGAGTAATTCCAGGGTTTTACTTTAATTTTCTGAAAGTTTTACAAATTTCTTATAATTTAACTGTAAATACATGCAAAACATTAACTTGAGAAAGAAGACAGTATCCAAGCAAATGAAGTAGTTATTGGACTTGATTTTATGCTTGACTGCCGTTTCTAATTCTTTCACTGGTTTTCTCTCTCTTTTTAATAACTAAAAATGCAGAGGACAATAGATTTTTTTATTTTTAATAATATATCTAACTCTGAGAATATTCATAAGTACTCAATTATCAGCTTCTCTTAAGTAATGGACAAAAATTCTCTACAATTAAAATTATTTTTCAGGATCCTGCAGTTTTCCAGGCCTGTCAAGTTAGAAGATCTTGCAGCTAAAGCTAAAGTTGCTTTTGGGCAGACTATGGATTTGCATTACAGCAATAATGAGGTAATATTCTCTGTGTTGTAAATTCTCCATGTCTTGTATGTTGGTTATTTCAGGATAGGGATCTGCTCTCCTTTAGCAATGTGGACTAGTTCTGACATGAAGCTTAATTCTGTCACAAAAGCCCAGATTTCTAATGTGTGTGCCCTCAAATATATGTTGGTCTAAATTAGTATAGACAGGAGATGCATTAAGTGTTTTATGGAGAGAGTCATATGTTAATAGATCAAGTCTTGGACTTGACTGGGAATGAAAATATTCTCTTCCTGCTCTGCCATGTGTTTTGTGTGGCTTTTGAGAAAGTTTTTGAGCTTTTTTGTTTGCTTGTAAATTGGAAATAGCATTTATTTCTTGTACATTGATCTTTGAAGATTACTGTTAACTAGGAAATTGCAAAAATACTGTTTTGTAACATTACATCAGAGAACTAGACACAACTATTCTTAAAGTGTCTGGCTGGCAAAGATTTCTTGGCATCAAACCAGTTACGTCTGATCGAGATGACTTCCAGGTTTCCTTTTGAAGTGTAGATGGGATTGGTAATAGAAAATATGTTTAGGGATGTGGGATCACTTAGGAGCTTGGTCTGGTTTTGGCCTTGAGTCAGCAAAGTGCTTGAAGGATTTGGACACTTAGCTGTGTGTGGTATAATTACTTCACTTAATCTGTATCTTTGCTGAAGAAGATTCCTGTAATTGCTGTTTGTCGATTATTAATTACCTTAGCAGACGCTTATGTGAAACTGATCCTCGAGATGAAAAACTCCTACAGAAGGTTTTTGGAGATTAGGAAGGTCAGGGGAAATGGGCATTTATGATGCTTAGCCTCAGCGCCTTTCCCTAATAGCTGTTCAGGCATTTGAGCAGATTTTCTGCTTGCTATCTTCTGTTCCAGTTGGAAAATCATTCCATCAAATTTCAGAAGTGTGCTGGTAATAACCTGCTATTAACATCAAACTTCAGCACAATGGAGAGTTTGCTCATTTCATAGTTATCAAAGCCCTCTCTCTTCTTTCCACCTGTTTGTTTCTAGCCATAAGGAAGTCTTTTGAGGTAAATTTGGTCTACACAGTAGCTGTTCTGATGTCGTTCTTAACTTATCCCGAAAACTCTCTATATGATTTTACTTTTGGCCTAAAAAAGTACTGTACTTCATCTCTTGTTGTACTGGAATATCAATAGATTCCTTTAAAATCTGTATCATGCTGTTCCTTTATTACAAGCATCAGTTGTAATTTACACTCATCACTGTAGAACTTGGATCTCAAGTGCATTTTAACTTCATGTAACTTGTTCTGAAGAAACATGTAGGCCAAGTTGATTCTAATTAATTAGAGCTAAGTTAGTTCTAGTAAAGGCTGCATTTGTTCCATGGGGCTCACATCATGCCTGATACTCTTCCTTAACAAATTCTGCTTTTCAATGGAGAAATTGTGTAAATGATATTCCTTGAGACAAATATGGTTGTGGTATGTATTGTGTGATAGAAAAAAAATGCTTTATGCCCTGTAAGATAATTTGGAATTTTCAGTAATTAGGAGGATGAAATATATCTTGATGGACATTTTCCTGAAACTGTAGAATATTAAGCTGTGCATGCAACACAATTATTTCCTCATTTTAAGGGCTTGTCCCACAATGCAATGGTCTTTGTAGGCAGAATTAAGGTTCTCTTGTAGATGTTTTTTCCCTCAGTACATTTTGGTGGTAACTTGACACACCATTAATAAATATTATATTCAAATTATTTGGAATGAAAGGAAAGATAGCATCAATTCATTTCTTCCCTTGCTCTTAACTCTTTTGCTTGTATCCTGCTTAAACTGCTTGCTTTCTCTCTCCCTTTCTCTGTAGCTTGGGATTCCGTTAACCACACAGGATGACCTAGACAAAGCTGTTGAGCTGCTTGACCGTAGTGTTCACATGAAGAGTCTCAAGATATTGCTTGTAATACATGGAAATACACAGGTATGATTTGGCATCCTAAATGTGCCTCTATCCTCAATTTTCAGTGGAAAATATTATTTATCTGTTAGAAATGACATTTTTCTGATTGAAAATATTAGATTGCGTGGTCATTTTTTTTCTTTCTTTCTAACTACTGAGCTAGACTTAACATTTCCTAAATATCATTCTTTTTGTGTATGCCCTCTCTGCAGTGGTAAAAGTGTTCCTTATTAGAATGATGATGTGATAGAAATTTGAGAAGTGCATGGGGAATTTAAATGGTTGTTGTTTTGAACCTTTCTTTAAGTGAGATTTCAGGTGCCATTCCCATGGAAAAGTAAATGCTGGATAAAGCAGCAGCAGTGATCTGCAGGCTAAGAACACTATTATGGTATTATTTAACACCTCGTAGTCATGGTACTGATAGGTTTCTGAATAATAGTGCATAATGAACAATTGTCTTAGAAGAGAGAGCTACCAAAATATATAAATTCTGATATAAATTATCTAGCTTTCTTTCAACTGCTTGAAAAAAAAAAAAGATGCTTTACATGAAGCTTGTACAAGTGTACGAATTATCTTTACTGTCAGGAGCATAAAATGCAACTCTCGGTTTGTAATTTATACTTGTTTTTAGTCACCCAGTGTAAATCATGCGGAACCCTTGCCCTCATTGGAAGATTTAGATAATACAGTGTTTGGTGCGGCAGAAAGGAAAAGGCGCCTTTCTGTAATAGGTAAGATATAAGTTCCAAAGCCTTTAATTGTAAGAACTTTGTGTGGTGTTCTTGAGGAAGTTTTTGCTCTTGACACAGATTGTTTGTATCTCTCTTCCTCATCATTGGCTCTCGATATGTTTGAGTCCATGCTCTAAAATGCTGTAGTGGTAGAATTCTGCTGTTAAGAATCAAAGGTAGTTTACATGTGTGGTTTAGAAAATTAAAATCCAGAAGGAAATAAATATATGTGGAGTTGTTTGAGATAACTGATAAGTTGATCTTATATTCCCTGTTGCTCATCTAAATTCTGTGATTCTTTTCTAGCGTATCTTTATATCTTGAAAAGTTAATGTTAGTACTATTATTTATTTTACAGGATACAGGAACAGGTTATCAAACAAATCAGTTCATATGGCATTGTTTTTTTGATAGATATGAGACTTTCATATTTTTTACTCTCTGTGTGCAAACTTTAACATAGTTTTTTAGTAGAAGTATGAACTTCTTTCATGTTTTCAAGTTGGCATAATGTTGGGGCCTGTGGAGCATTTGAATAAAGCCTCTGCTTTTTGTGTTAGTGATTTTTACTCCCCTTTCTTTCAAAAGGCTCTAACACTCGCGATAGGAGTTCACCTCCTCCAGGATACATTCCAGACGAGCTGCATCAAGTTGCCAGAAACGGGTCCTTTACCAGTATCAACAGTGAGGGTGAATTCATTCCAGAAAGTATGGATCAGGTAGGTATAGGACTTTCTAAAATTAAAGTTATTTGAGTGAGACTGATGAAATACTAGCCATCATTCTGTTGGAAAAGCTTGCAGAAAGGCTGCAACATTACAGAAAGTGTTAAAAATCTGGTGATGTTGTGGAGTGGCGCTGTGTCACTGTACCACATAGACTGAGACCTCAGCTGGATTACTCTGCCTGTGTTTCAGCAGCGTTCTTCAAGAAGGCTATGAAATTATTAGCAAGAACATAAGAAATAACAAAAGAAATGTAGAACACATGATCTATAAGAAGAGAGTAATCGATATCAAAGGAGGTTTTAAGGAACAGTTTGGACAAGCATCTGTAAGAAGTTATCTGGACTCAGATTACTGTGTTTTAGGGGGGAGGTAAGGGGGGTTGGAGATGAGTCTGTTTTTAATAACCTCTGAAGTCCTTTCCACAGATGGGATTTTTGAGTGAGGATCCCAAATGCATGGTATATTCTTCCCCTGACCCATGTGCCCTAATGACAGTGTGTCAGCTTACTTAGCATATATAAAAGTCTTGCCCTCCGAATAGCAACAGTCAAGAAAATATGAAGGAATGGGTCACAAAACTAGCAACAACGAAAGAAATATTTAAAGGAAAAAGTGGTGCTGCATACCCAAATCATTTCAAGTTCTTGTTGACTTTGACACTTTGTTCACAAATGGCAACAGGCAGTGGTTTTTATGAGTTGAGTAAATGAGAGACAGATGAGAGAATAAAAATAGAGGCAAAGAGATGGTGCAACTTGTTGCACAATGTAAATGGCCAAGCTGGGAATAAAGCCTGAATCTCTGAACTTCCAGACTGATCACCAAGTGGTCACATCCAGCTGAAGCTGAGATTCATTCAACGAAAATGATTGCTTTTGGTCTGGGCAAAGTAGTTCTTGGTCACTGAATGGTCAGACAGGCAGATGAGCTCTGAGATGCAGGTTGTCATTCAATCCAAGATATTTAAGAAATGTATATAGCATGTCATGTAAGTGTCACTCGGCTATCAGCAGGGTTTAAGCACAGGAACTAACAAACAGCTAACTTCTTGTTGGCTCCTACAATTAATGCAGTTTGTGATTTGTTTTATTAGCAGTTTCAAAGCTAGGCTCTTAAAGCATTTCAAATAAACGCGTGAACCTGTTGGTGTCTGTTGTTTATTAGATGCTGGATCCGTTGTCTCTGAGTAGTCCTGAAAATTCTGGTTCGGGAAGTTGTCCGTCACTTGACAGTCCTTTAGATGGGTAAGAATTACTTTAGATTCATTATGTATTTTACTAGGTTGTTTGTTGTACTGGCTGTAACATATATTAACTCTTCAATGACAAATTTTACTGACCCTTTTCAGATTTTTTATAAGTTACAGAACATTTAGAAAACTTTGAAACTTAATTGATGACTAACTGATTGAAAAGAGATTTGAGGTTTAAACTTGAAACACAGAACTTTTGACTTCAGATCCTACAACAGTGTATTTAGTACACTAAATTACTAAATTTTTATTAAATTCTGCCAGTCTTGCTTTTGTATTATGATCTCAGCAATGAGCAGCCAGATTAGATTTACATTTTTTAAGATACTGTTATATGAAGGAAACTTCCTTCTTCCAAGGATGGTTAAATTAAATACAGATCAAATATTTGTATTTAATTAGTTTGGAGGTAAAAACATGTATATCAATGCCTGTGGTGATAAGAATAGGCTTGTTGTTAGTATATGTTTTTTAAATGTTACAGGTTTTGACATTTACAGATATAAGCAACCTGTATATAGGTTTTGTAACTTCATTTAACTTCTGTTACCCAGCAAAAAGCATCCTCCTAGAAAAGGAGGATGCTGGTTTGGTTGTGGTAATGGAAATACACTGCAATGTGCTGTCTGACTGGCAAATCCCATCTATACCTTTTGACATAGGAATAGCCTAACAGTGACTTTAGGTAGAAAATAACATGATTACACAGGAAGATAAAAATTCTTAAGCATTCTGTAACTCAGAAAAGTTGCTCTTTTAATTTTGTGAGCGTCAGGGAGAGAAGAAGAAATGCTTTGAGAAATATTAAAAAGTTCAGCATTTTCTTAGTTAAGCTTTGTCAAAAATCTTTGTATGCTGTGTAAGAGATTTTGCCTATATAGAAATCTAGATATTTAGCTATGAAGGCGTTAAACGTAGTAATGCTCTTAAGTGACTTTACGTGTGATAACTCCTATTTTTATTGCTCACTGACACAGTCTGCTCTATTAAAACACGTAGTTGAAAAAGCAAGTTTTCCCGTCCTTACCGATCCTCAATTATTAGTGATGCCAGCTAGATTTTTTTAACTTAGGTTCTGTGTTTGTAAGCAACTGCAGCAACTTGAACAGCACTGAACTTATGATTAATAAGTAATTATACACTAAGAATAAATGTTTCAAGTACCTCATTAGATTAACAGCAGTTTTTAGATATTGTATATTTTTACACTTCTAGAGACAACTACCCCAAATCTCGGATGCCAAGAGCACAGAGCTATCCAGATAATCATCAGGAGTTCTCAGGTAGGCAAAATGACTGAGCATATTCGCTTTCGAAAATGTATTCTCTTTCAAATAATAAGATTTAGAGGGAAAGTTTATAGGGAGAGGTAACATATTACACAAAAGCAGTATGGTATTAGACAGTGCAGATATCTGGCACACGCCATAGAAGATGCTGTGAAGGATAAGGTCTTCAAAGCTCTTCCTCTTATATCATTCCATGTATCACTGCTACTAGTGGATATAATATAACAAACTTGCCTCTGTGAAAGCAGCAAGTGATGCAGTGGGTGATGGCACACAACTGTGAGTCAGACTGGACTGTAATGTCTGTCCCTGAATTACTGCATAACCTTGGCTAATTTAGTTCATGTTAGAGGCTCCTCTGTCAAATGAGAATAATTTTTAAGTGCTCATGATTGCTATAATGGAAAATACTGCAAAGTAAAAGATGACTTTGGAGGACTGTGTGCTGGGCCTGTAAATTAATCAGTCGTCATCACTAATGTTGTTTTCATGCCATGCTGTGGCGTGAATCCAAATTTTTGTGCATGATTTAGGATACCAACTGCAATGAGTAACCTTGAAAGTGCTTTGAGATGTCTTTTGTGGACATGCCTTGAAATAAAATCAGAGTACTGAACAATAATTGGTTTGCAGTGAATCTAGGGTGTTTTATTTGTAGGGTTTTTTGATATTTGTATCTTTAAGGCTTTTTGCTTATAAAACTTTACCCACATAATCACGTGATTGTAATGTAGAGGGCTTATCAGACAACATCACTTTAAAAAGACTAACTGCGTTCAAGTAACATTTATGTTGTAGGGATAAACACCAAGAATGTGGGGAAATGTCAGAAATCAGTTTAGCCTGTTTGTGTTTATTCATCATGCTAAGTTTTTAAAGATCCTAGAAGAATGTTCTGAGCACTGCTGCCTGGTGCAGGATAGCCTTGTCTGTCAGTGATGGGAATTTTCTTCTTCAGTAGGTTTTTAAAGGAGGATCTATTGACTGTTTTTGTAGCTCAGGCTGCATCGACTCTGTGGCAGTATATCATATATATCCACCATTTAATTTTATTTGTAATAGTTCATGCCAGTTTTCTTGCTAGTGAGTTGTAATTTCCCAGAATTTCCCTATAAATAATGTCAAAAATTGGAGTTACTAGCCATGCTGCTGTCTTCTGATACTCTTGAGCAAGAGATTAGAGATCACACTTGAGCTACTGAATCCTTGAGATACCTTAAAAATTTCTAGATGAATATCCTTTATGTTTTTGATTTGTTATTATAGAGAAAATCCGCAGAACTCCCTTTTTTTGGTGACACCTCACTCTTAAACCTGTCCTCTGGTATATTCCTGATATTGAGACTTAAAACACAAACCAGATTTATTCCATGTGTTTTTGTTATGTTTTTAATTTTGAAATATATTTTCTTTTTATTTTCTAGTAGAGTATGATATCCCAATATTTGAGAAATTTGGAAAGGGTGGGACTTATCCCCGACGGTATCATATTTCATATCATCAGCAAGACTACAATGATGGTAGGAGTTCTTAATTAACCTCTTAAGTATCTGATTGTAATTAACCTCTTTGAAGATCAATGTCCTTTTTTTATTCTAATGCTGTAATCATCTTTGAATTATCTCTGGGGTTTGGGTGTGTGATGGGTTTTTTTTTTTTAGTGGTCATCCTGTTGATTATTACTGTAGATATTTGTCTGCTTTCAATTCTTATCCCTTCATAAGGTGAAGATGCCAGCTTGCTCATTGCTGGAATGTAAACATGACCCTTTCTTCCCTTTTTATCAGGGGTTTATACATTGTAATAGAGCAGTAAGAATAGTAGCAACTCTGAAGCCAGCAGTGTATAAAAAAGGAGGAGAGGGAGTTTGTGGGTTTGTTCTGAAACTGAGTCCCTCCTAATTTTGGTCCCTTAACCCACCTTAAGATTCAGTCCGGTAGTCAACTATATCTGTGATAAATGCCTGTTTTCATCTAGCTGGAAAGTTGAACCAGTAAATTCCATGATCACTACACCATATCATATATTGTGGAAGATTTTAATTATGTGCAATTCATTAAGTGTATGCACACATATATTTGCATAGTAGTTATTTTTATGGTGTTAATGTCATGCTGTTGTATGTCATCGAAGGCCGTAAAACTTTTCCAAGAGCCAGAAGGACTCAGGGCAACACGTTCCGATCCCCCGTTAGCTTCAGTCCCACCGACCACTCGCTAAGCACGAGCAGCGGGAGCAGCGTCTTCACGCCCGAGTATGAGGATAACAGAATGAGGAGGAGGGGAAGCGACATCGACAATCCGACCTTGTCGGTCATGGACATCAGCCCTCCCAGTCGCTGTAAGTTAAGGCATTTTGACAACTCCTCCTAACGCAACCCAGGAGACCACCAGCCTCCTTGGCCACCCCCAGCACAGCTAACTTGCCTACCAGCACTCCCAGGTTCTTCTGCACAGAGCTATTTCCAGCAGCTTACCCCACAACCCGTTAAAATCTAGCAATACATGGGGTAATTTCTCCCTAGGTGAATCATGGCAAAACTAAATACATTTTTTCTTTGCTTATTGTACCAACCTTCATATAAATTTTCATATGGAATTTACATCTGTGATAACAAATCGCTTAAAAATAAATAAATAAATTTGATGCTATATTAGACTACCGAGAACCCAGAAGTGTCACATAGGAGGCAATTTTACTTTATTTTTGCTTATGTTAATCAACTTTTCTGGTAAACTGTAGTTTCTAGTTGTTTTATGATGCTATTTCAGGAGCTGATACATTTTAATCATTCCTCAATTATTGGTGTTTCCAAATTTCCTTAACATGCTTTGTCTCTTTCAGACTAGCTATTACTAATTCCTTTAAGTATATATGTATCTGCACTGGAAATTTTGGAATTTAACTCATAGTTTTCCGTTTTAAAGGAAGTCTTATTGATCTTACATAAAGAACATTAGGAAATGCAGTCTGTGTGATGAAAAAATATAGTCTTTTTAAAAAGAAAGTTACTTTTTGCATATTCCATTTTTTGTTTACCAGCTGAATAACAAGCTCATTTGAAAACCAAAGCATATTTATATTTTCAGCGCCACGAGCTCCAACTAACTGGAGACTTGGTAAACTGCTGGGACAAGGTGCATTTGGTAGAGTATACCTATGCTACGATGCTGATACTGGAAGAGAACTTGCTGTTAAACAAGTTCAGTTCGATCCGGATAGTCCAGAAACCAGCAAGGTAAGTGATGTAAAACAGAAATCTGTAAAGGGCTTCTGCTGGGACTAAGCCTTAGACTATATACTCATGTTGCATAAAGTTGTTCTGGTCTGTTTTTTAGGAGCAGTTTAGGTGTGGAAAACTATAAGGTTTTGGGTATGGGTTGTTGGGCTTTTTTTTGAGTAAGGCTTTGGGTATTGGGGCTAGTACTAGCAATTGTTATTAGCAATACTTCTCTGAAGAGCACAACTTTTGTTGAGAGTTGATGAGTTGAAAGTTTCTTCTGTTCTAGAAGCAAATTTCCATACAACAGTATTTGCTTCAGTTTATTATGATTTAACTGTATCATTCCGTCTGAATATGAGGAAAGCTGCTTTAATGATCTCCTCAAAAAAAGCTGCCTGGATGCGATCTCTCTGAAATTGAGCTTGTCCTTCAGATATTGGACATTTAAGAAGAGAAACAACGTGATTAGCACTAGTCTTCTGTGTGTGTGTAAACGTGATTAGCACTAGTCTTCTGTGTGCATGGCTTTTTTCTCCAAATACAGGATGGAAAAAGAATTATTAATTTTCCTGCGTTAGGACTGCATTCCACACTTTGGGGAGCATGGCCTGGGGAGCAATGCGTATAAGCCTTGTTGCAGAACCTAGTAGCTACCAGTTATAGCTGCTGTTACTAGTGATGTTGGATCCAGAAAAGCAAAGAATCATTTGTGCTGTAGATTTCTAGTGCAGTTGTTGCTATTTCTTTAAAAATGTAACAAAACAGCTGATTTTTTGCTTTGCAAATGATAAATATATTTATTCATATACATATATATATATATATATATGCATATATATATGTATATATATCTATAAAATAAACCCTCTGCAGGATCTCTCTTGTAGAAACAGTTTCGTAACCTCACCATAGCATTTTGTAATGTGCATCTGCTAACTGTCAAAAATCCATTTTCCTTCTAACTTTAGAAATCTGGGATATTCACCTGTAGACTGGATTAAAAAGTAAATTTTGATGAAAGGCTGCTGGGTAAAATCTGGAATCCATCCCCATTTGGATGGGGCTTTTTGAAAGATAATACACAGTAAATTTTACAAATAGGAAGTAAATCATTTTAGGTAATTAGTGAAAGGACCTTATTTGTTCATGCATTTCATACTTACAGTATTAACCTATCCTTCCTAAGCAAAATGATGATGCATTAGAAAAGTTGGTATTAATGCTAGTTAATCTAATAGATTTAACACTTTTTTTTTTTTTTTTTTTACTGAGTTGGCAATTTAGGATATATTGCATAGTGATTCATAAATAGACACACATCTTGATATCTGCTGTGTTCTGAGATGGATATAACTTCAAAATAACGGAAAGAATGAGATGAGAGCAAAATCATCCCAAAGCCATTTTACAGAAAACAAACACTTCTCTCGCTTCCCTCAATCTAATGTATAACCTGGCAAAAACTACAAGAGTAGTAGTGTGATATAGTTCACATATCCCTTAAATAGGTTCATATTCTGCAGAAAAAAAATACCCAAATGTTTTTTTTCATGTTATTATACCAAGTGTGGAAAGTCTTTCTTTGAAATAGGTTCATATTCTGCAGAAAAAAATACCAAATGTTTTTTTCATGTTGTTATACCAAGTGTAGAAAGTCTTTCTTTTTTGTTGTTGTTTTTCCTTTTAGGAAGTAAATGCACTTGAATGTGAAATTCAATTGCTGAAAAATCTGCATCATGAAAGAATAGTCCAGTATTACGGTTTCTTAAGAGATCCGCCAGAAAGGACACTCTCTATATTCATGGAATATATGCCTGGGGTAAGCAAGAAAACCAACCCAGTTCACCATCGTTGCTACACAGTGTGATGAGCACCCAAGCAGACAGCTTTGCAGCAGTGCATGCAGATACCAAATAAATGCCTGAGTAAAAACAGTAGCCAAAGAGAAATATCGGGAGGTGCTCACAGCAGTCTGACTCCTCTCCTTCATGTATTCAGAATCAGCCGTTTGTACAAAAATGGTTTGCATTTGATTTTGGCATAAGAAGTACCTAGTGCTGTCTTGGAAAAGACAGTGTTAGGAGATGACTCTGGAATCTCCCTAAAGTGTAGTATTTCTTCCTACTGCACTACCTGTTGTTTAGTCACCATGTCAACTTTTGAGAAAAAGTAGCTAAGGTAGTTGTAAGTGCATTAAAAATAATCTTGGTATTTGTCTTTTGTGTGACACGAGTGCAAGCTGAACTGTTTTGCTTTTCCTATTTTGTCAAGATTTTGTGTTCTGAAAACTGTAGATTCCGTTTTCTCACAAAATGGGATTAGCAGAGCTGACTAAAATGTGAACTTAGAAAAACGTAAGATCAGTATTTCTGAATATGATTCTCCTTAAATAAATAGCATCTGTTTGTTCTGTACAGATCCAAATGAAGTCTTGTCATCTAATCTTCCGAACACTTTAGAGCGTGTTGAATGCTGTTCTCTTTTTCTGTATAACAGGCTGGCACTATTAAATTATTTGATAGTTTTAGAGTTAATAGTTGTTATTTCAGTATATGGCTTGGTCTTGTTTGAAGATTTTCTTAGTGGAGGTAGTGGAGAAGTTCTGCAACTTTGTCTAATTTTAGACATAAACTTCATATTAATCCATTTGTGATTCTTGAAATGTTAGTGTTTAATATTTTTTCTTTGACATAGGGTTCTATCAAGGACCAATTAAAATCATACGGAGCACTCACAGAGAATGTGACTCGTAAATACACACGGCAGATTTTGGAAGGAGTTCACTATTTGCACAGTAACATGATTGTTCATCGAGATATTAAAGGTAATAAGCATAGGTCTGTGCACAGCTCTGGGCTTTTCCTCACCATTCTAAACAGAGGGGGAGGAAATAATCTTTATACTGTCTTAAGCCTTCTAAAAATGCTTCCCTAGTCAAAACAAAAGTCTGCAAAGCAATTGTAAATTTTAGGTCTGATTTTATATGTGTGTGCGTTAATAGTTTTTGATATATCAGAGGATCCCATCATTACAAATGGAACACACCAAGCATTATGACTCTAAAGTACTTGCACACAGTTTTGTTTCTATCAACTATATAAAAATTACCCAGCCCTTCACTGTTGAAAGAACTTACTGGCAGAGCTGATTTGCCTGATCCAAATGATTGAGACTTCTTCCATCTTCCAGCCAGGAAAGCTAATGGAACAGATATTTATCATTTGCAAATAGATACAGGTGATTTGTAAGTGCTGCCTAAGCAAGCTATGCATATGTGATAAGATCAGTTGTGTGCAAAATAGCTACACCAGACACAGTGCCATTGTAGTCCCTAAAACTTTCACATTGTTTTCCTGTTGCTTTGTATCTGTGCCTGCTTATACGAGATACTTATTTTGAACATATTTATAACATAGTTTGTGGTTTTGCTTTAATATAGTATCAAAATATGTTTAGTGCTGTGGAAGCTTCCCATTTCTTTTTACTTCTATTATATTAAAGCGTAATTGGCACGTTGTGTATTTTGCCAGTATGGGACTGCAAAGGTGATGGAAAATACTTCAAAAATTTCTAGGATGCAAAACAATATGAACAAGTGATTATTTCCTGAGCTTCGAAAGAAGAATGATGGGAGTAGGCAGAGAAAGACAGTTTTCTGGCTTGAAATATTGGGCCCATCTGGTATTGTATCAGTGAACTCAAATTTTTGTTACTGTTGTTTTCCATGCCAAAGTCATAATGGGGTTTTCATGAACGTAATGCAGTGTTTGCTTTCTTATAGGAGCAAATATTCTGCGAGATTCAGCAGGCAATGTGAAGCTCGGTGATTTTGGTGCCAGCAAACGACTCCAGACTATCTGTCTCTCTGGTACAGGAATGAAATCTGTCACAGGAACTCCATACTGGATGAGTCCAGAGGTTATTAGTGGAGAAGGATATGGCAGAAAAGCAGATATCTGGTATGTCAAAAACCTTTTGCAGAAAGGCACCATTTAAGAATGGTCTCTTTCTCACAGGTGTGCAGGTGCTAGCTGAAGTTGGAATGTTTTTTGTCCTGGGGTTTAAGCTGAAGTAATGTGACAGATGTGAGCACTGGTATTTGGAGAAAATAACACATGAAATGTGGGAATTTTGGGGTTGTCAATTCCTGTGCCCATGAATTTGGAGATCCTGTAAGAATCCTTTGACAGCCTTGCATGAAGGTAGGAGTGCCAGACTGGAAATCCTGGTGAGTTACTGGGTGAAAGCTGCAGTGAAGCTTCGAAGTGTCAGTTAATCAGTGTCCCATGAATTAATACATTGTTTATTGGAATTTAATTTATTACAAAAGTATTTTTGATACAGGACACAAAATGTAATTCTAAAACATGAATAGATAAGAAGGAAATTATCAAATTTAAACAGAAGAGCAGGAAAAAGCATTGTTGTAAGTTAGTATTAAACTGTCAAGAGTGAAGATAAAGGCACATTTCAAAGATGAATGTTTGTGATAGTATTATCTATCACAGTCTATCACAGTCTAAGATAGCAAAAGCCCAAGTAGCATGGTTTTAGCCACTAGACTCCTTGCATTGGAAGTGATCTGTGAACACAAGAGTATTAATTGTTTAAACAATAGTAGCAGACACACTTTTTTCCAGCCAAGAGACATATTTTCTTGTCTGGGAAGTTCATTTAGCCTCATACAGATCACCTAGTAATAATCCATCTGTACTTATAGAACAGCCTTATAAATTAGTGGTAGTTGGCATACTGAGCTTTGAAGCATTCGTATCAAGGTTAGTACATGCTTTTTGATGTGTTAGTATTAACAAGTACTGAACTTGGATTTCTGTTGTTGAATAAATCCTTAACTAAGCAGCAGGTATTGAGGAAAAAAAAAATTCCTACCATAGAATTTTGAAAATTCAGAAATTACTCCCAACTATGAATTTGGCTGTATCATTCACATATTCCTGACAGATCAAACTTGTAGAACTCATGGTGAAATGTTCTTCTGGACATATGCACGCATTTCTGCCCTCAAAAATAGTTTAAATGTAAATGTACCCGTTAAATTTAATGGGTACAAATCCTTGTACCCAAGGATCATGTGTGATCTTTCTTCAAACACTGACGGTCTGGACAATACTAGTATCTGTAGCTGAAACAGGAAGAGATTACCATTTAATAGCACAAAAAATATAACATGGAAGTAAAAAATACTTACACCCATACTTCACTGATAACATATGCATTTCTAATAGCTCTGCAGTATATTCTATCTTATTTTAATGTAGAGCATTGCTGAGTACTTTGCATTACCACTAGGACATAATAAGAAAGCTTTCAAGTGCATTCAAGTCCCAAAGGTGTCCAAAGAGCTCAAGTCCAAGGATTCTGTGATGTTCTTGGCTTTACTGGCCTGTTGAGCACTAGTTCTCAATCTCTCAATAGTGTCCCTGTCATAATACAATAAGTGTTGTCTTTAGACCAATAAATACATACATTTCCTCGCTGAAGTAGCTGCCTTTTGTCCGGTGAAGATGCAGGTAGTGGCTTGCGTAACTTGGAGATGAGGAAGTATAGCACAAGAGCGTGAAATCGTATTTTCTACTGAAGTTGCTCTAGGGCTTTATGTGGACAGCACTCATCTGTGGTGTTCTAGCAGCTCTCTGATATTCTTGTTTTCCTAGAAGAGCCTGACTCTATTGTAACCTGCTGTTTCGCTTTTGCCTCTGTTTCAGGAGCGTAGGTTGTACAGTGGTAGAAATGCTCACTGAGAAGCCCCCTTGGGCAGAGTTCGAAGCTATGGCTGCCATCTTTAAAATTGCCACTCAGCCAACGAACCCCCAGTTACCACCTCATGTCTCAGACCATGCTCGGGATTTCTTGAAACGGATTTTTATCGAGGCCAAGCTGCGACCGTTTGCAGATGAACTGCTAAGACACACGTTTGCACACTATCACTAACAGCCTGCCTCAACTCTGCTTGCATCTACTGCATTTATTTTCTATTTGACTGCACTTTTATTTTTTATTTTTTACAAAAAAGAAGAAAAAGACAAGAGAGAGAACCCATTCTCTTGAATCTTTGTTTCACTTAGATTGTAAACAATCTGAATTTTGTATGTAAAATGAGAATCTTCCTTCCCCCACTCGCACCAGGACTAGAACTTTTTGTTTCTATAATGTACTGATGTGGTTCATGTAGATAAAGCACTTTAGTACATACTTGTTCCTTATTTAAAGAGGAGAAAAAAAAAAAAGACAAATGATTGGACAGTCAGGGACTGTGTGACTTTTTCTGACACTGCTGACTGACTCAGGGTGCAGGGAAAAACAGACATGCAGCTAGAGGACAGGAAGGGTACGTATCTGTGTTCTTTGTATTTATAGGTGCAGGTGTATTTATTGCTGCAGAGTTCCAAGTTCTTATATTTCAGCATGTTAATGAGTTTCTGGATTCAACAGCTCAAGCTTAAACCCTGTTTTGAGAGCTGTTTAAAAGCTGGAAGAACTTGGAACTCATTGTACAGCAGCGTGTCTACCTGGTACTTCCTCTGTGACCAAAAGAAAATAATAAAATAGAACTTGGCATGGATTCAGTAAATTAGAGGCTTTGGTGTAGAACCCTCTCTTACTATGAGAAGATTTACAGGTAATTAATTTATGGACACAGACTCCTGGAAACTGCTATACTGCAAGGCAAAAACTTCCAGAATAGAGTCAGTTGTTGGATGTAAAAAGTTGGAGAATGCCTCCTGCTATTTCTGCCAAAGAGAATCCTCTGTTGCATGAGCTTGGGGGGAGACACTTATCTTAAACTTTAAAAAAAAAAAAAAAATAGTGATATTGAGAGAAAATCTTCCTCTACAAGCCCATGAATGGTTGGGGGGAATGGGAGTGACTAATCCTTGTGCAGTATAATTTAGAATGAGGTGTAAGAAATAACATCTTCAAAGCTGTTGAGAGGCACTAGGGTGGAATGTATGTCAACATCAAGTGCCTAAATAATGTAAAATTCTTCCCCTTCTGCACTACAAAAAAAAAAGAAAAAAAAAAGTTTAGTAACAGTTCAGTCATTTAGGATGTATTGAAAATTTCTGAAATGAAACCCAGTATCTTCATTTCAGAAAAATATAAAATTCTGGTTCTACTTTTCATAATGATGTTGAGTCCACCTAAACAAGAAGGCATGGCACATAAGATTGTACAAAGAATAGGCCAAAACCACAAAATGAGCCAGAAACTAAACAACGTGAGCATGATTACTCCAGCCTGGTAATCCAGATCATCAGTGTTTATCAGGCTTCCGGATGTCATTAAAATTAATCACTTTTTCCATTTCTGAAAGAGAATAATAAAAGAAGAAAAGTAAAATCTGTAATCAAGTCCTCAGCTGAGAAGCCTGGTGTTGATCAGATATAGTTAATAACTGACTTTTTGCTACAGAAAAGTCAAACTCATTTTTGTAGAAGTACACTCTAAATAGTCTAAAAGATAATTGGAACTACTGGACTACAGCACTGAATGCCAACTGTTTGGGATCATTTCTTGCTTTTGTATTTATGTTAAGAGGGGGCTGATACTGTGAACCTTGTCTCCTCCGATGAGGTTATGCATTGTAGTCCCCAGGCTCCTGTCCAGTTTGCATCCTTCGAGGACTATCAGAACCATAAAGAGCATGGACAGAGAAAAATTAACTTATTCATCTCATGGCAGTTAACTCATGAGATTTCTGATTTTATCCTAAGAATTCCCAAATCTTCTGGTCGTAAGCAGGAGTATGGATCTATTCTAATCACTTTACCTGTAGCAAAGTAAGCATGATTTTCCTTCTGTTTTGAGCCACCTTTTCTGAGACTGAGCAGTGTGGCCTTTTTTCAGTTTCTGTGTTTATCCAGCATATAGTTTGTTTTGGTTAGGGTGTGTAACTGTACAGGACTTTAAAAATGTGGGAAGAATTAATCCAACCAGGGACATTTAGAAGGCCAAAATGGAAGTCAACTCCTATTGACTTATTTTTAGTTTCTCTGTAACTAGACAAAAGGTATGAAAGCAGCCTTTAAAGACAATTTATGTGTACTCTGCTATAAAGGACCTTTGCTTTATAAGCAAAATTTAGTGGTAGCAGGGAAGGGAAGTCTAATGTAGAGTCTAATAATTTATGTAGCTGATTTAAAGATTGTGTAATTGAAATGACTGATTTCAAACAGATCAAGAAGGTACCAAAACTGAGCTGGAAATGTATATAAAATCAGTAGTGGACAGTGATATCTGAAAATGTAAGGAAATTTATTATTACCGAAAAAGGACATTAAAGGGAAAATGTAATCAGGTTTATCTGTAGCATTCAAAAAATTAAAGATACTGTTCTAAAAAGAAACTGCGTGTTCTGAAGGCTGAAAACTTTCAGAATCTAGTTTTCTAATAACTATAGTGTCCTTTCTGTGAGGCAGTGCTGGCTGATGTATATTGCAATATAATTTCCTCATTGTGATTTTAGTTACTGGCAGTAATTGAAATTGTTGCTTTTGTGCCTTTTTAAAAAAATGGCATTCAGTCATGACAGTGGTAAGCGTTTTGGAACTGGAAAAGAGAAATTGCAGAATCTTCCCTAAACTTTCTTTGATGTCAGAAAGCTGCTGAGTAAAGATGGTACTACTTAAAAGATGACTTTTGCCAGTTCAAGTGATTATAGTAAAAATTATATTACATGCATCAAGATTAGGCCTCTGCTGTTTCTTCTTTTTCACCCTAAGTTGACCTAAATTACTTAGAGTAAATTAGATGGTTATTAACCATTCATTTGTATTTTGAGTTAGAAATATATACAAATTTAAAGGAGACTGTTTCACCAAAAGGTTAGTTATTGTTTATCCTCTTGCATGTTGCACTGCAATGTTATTGTGTTAGGGTATTACAGAAAAACAATCTGTATTAAAAAAAATGTACCACTTCTGTATACAGTGTCCATAAGACACTTTGTGTACTACTGGCATGATGCTTAAAAACCTCTAACTCGAGAATTTCAGAGACGCACTGAACTGCATGTGTAAAATCCCATTATAAAGAAGGGTTGTGGATTGGAGATCCCTGATGACAACTGTTAATACCTTCCTGCTGCGGACACCAGCATTTTAGAATCATTGGTTACACTTGAGTACTAGATCCAAGTATTTAAAAAAAAATAACAATGGAAAGAATACTGTTGCAGGGTGATGTTTTGCTTTTCTGCCAATGCCAACTTACTCACAGTAAGTAAGGGTCAAGGTTAATAGTGAGTATGTGCATTTTCAGCGGACTTATTATCTGCTAATGAATTGTACTATTCTGGCCACACATTAAGTAACAGAAGTTTAACTACTTGTACCTTGCTGATAACTTTCACAGCGTTGTTTGCCTCTGGCTCTTTTTGGCACAAATATGATTTTTTATTATTGATTCAGCCAATCTTATTTATATTCTGTGTATTTTTTTAATCAGGTTGCTTTTTTATGGCTAGAATGAGAAAAATTATGAACAGCTGTTAATACAAGTTCCATTTGGTGGGAACGCAAATGGTTGAGCATTGATACGGCTCAGTTGTGTTTGAGGAACATTTTTCAGTACTTGCAAGGATATTTTATCACACAAAAATGAACAAAGGTTATGGATATGATTGATCTTTCTTGGTTCCTGCATCTGTTACTTTTTCATCTTGAATTCAAGTCTTAAACTTGCTTAGTTTGCAATTCTATGGTAGCAAAGCTTTCCTTTGAGAATACCAGAGTGATAGGTTATTTAATTGTTCTTTTTTAGCTAGTGCCTTTTTATCTGTAGCCTTAAGTTTGTTCATACTTGAACACAGTTTTAAAATACTATGGCTGTCACACAATTCTAAAAATGTATTTAAAGACTCTTTTGGTGGCATAAAGTGCCCAAACCCAATTCACTCACTGCATTGAAAAATGTTCTTTATGTATACTCCACTGTAGGCTTTTGATTTAAGACTTTTTTAAAGAGTATTTTTTGAAGGACTTCCCAAGTATTAACTAGCTAATACAATTTTTGCATTTTAGTTTTGGCGATTGTAAACTGCATACCAGAAAAATTACTTCTGCAGCCATACAGATATTGTTACAGCCAAGGAGTAGCTGTCTCGCTCTGGGTACTAGACTCTGGTTTTACTGTAGAGATCTTAGATGTTCTTAGTGGATGAATAAGTGATGGTTGGTACGTTTCTAAACCTGGTACGGGAATGGAAGGTGTTTACTTTCAATAGACAGGAATATTAGTTCTTTTGTAACAAATCAACAAAATGCTCAGTGAAATTACCTTTGTTCCCATTAAACTGTTTCCTGTCTCTCTTAGATCATCCTAATGCTGCTGTTGTCTTGACTGAAAGCCTCCTTGCAGCACCAGGAAGGACAGTGCAGTACAGCAAGCTCTTCTTTTAAACAGTGTAGAGCAATGTGTATGCAGCTTCAGAGATTTGAGCAATTGTTCAGAGTTAGTGTAATTTATATATATACTTTTTCAGTCTTGAAAGTTTGTCATGCATCTGAAAAAAAGCATAACTTGCATGCTTAAATGTAAGTCCATATGGTGTTTCTGGAAAAGCAAAAGTATTACTGCCAGTATCTCCTCTTCTTGCTGGTAATTTGCTGTCTTGTGTTCATGACAAGCAATGTAAAATCACATATAATTACCAAAGCTTTTCTGTCCCTATCTACATATAGCCAAAAGTGGTGTTTCATGGATTTGTACTGTTAACTTACATATACATATATATCTATCAGTAAGCTATTGCTAACTGAAGAAAGCAGGTACTAGTAAAACGTGATGGTACTGCCCATATTTAAGATTTGGGTGTTTATTACTGTTTTGATGTGCAAAAATTCATGTCTTCATTAAAATGAAGAGTTTGTTTTTTAAAAAAAAAAATCAACTTTAATCTTATTGATCTCATTCAAATAATAATGTACAAACTTGATGACTCTCATTCAAATAATAATGTACAAACTTAATGACTTAATTTGGCAACTTGTTTTGTAGCCAAGTTTGAGTTTTGGGACTCAGATACTGTGGAATGCCATGAAGGAGAGGTAGATTTGTGATCTGCATTGCTCTGTGCACCATAGCAAGGACATTTTAAAGCTGCTGTGAAGCAGTCTCTTTGATTTAAGAGCCAAATCTTACCCACAACAATACTCTGTGCTGCCCTTAATGGGAGCCACAAACACACACTAAAGAGGGGCAGAATTACTTCCAAACTGGGGTTTCTAACTCAAAAATCTAGATCAGAAGCAAAGGAGCTTTTCTCTTTTTATTTTCTCTGCTTGGCCTGTGCACGATTTGTTTTTATTTTTTCATTTTAATTGGCGTTACTCGGACGCTGTGTAGGTGGTGGCCTCGCGCGGGAGCTGACACGGAGCTTCATCGCGGAGCTCGGCCGCGGCCTGGCCAGGGCGGCCTGGCACAACCTGCCCTGGCTGCTGCTGGCACCGCGCGGCCCTGCCCTGGGGACGTCACCTGTGTCCTGCAGCCCCTGCCAGGCGTTGGGCCTGCGGCTCCTGTGGCCACGCGCTGCGCTCTGCAAGGCAACCGCTGGGTTGCACTCCAGCCATGTAGACATCGCGTATTAGAGGGGGGGAAACGAGATGGGGGGGAAAAAACCTCCTGTCTGATACATTAGCAGCCCTGCTTCGGCTACGTATTCGTTTTTCATGAGCTTGCTTTAAAGGGAGAGGAACTGGATTAAATGAATTAAAATCATATCTCATGTTTCAGCCCTTACTGATGAGGATTGGAGGTCAAGGTCTTTTGTGGGGAAATAAGGAAAAGGATATGGTAACTCTAGAGTGGATATTTGTGGTAATTTCAGAGGTTTTTTGAGTCTTTTCCCCCAATAATAGATTATCCTTTTCCCCAAAGATTATATATATATATGGGTTTAAAAACAAGGATTGCATTTTCTCTTCTGAACAGGCATTAAATGGTCAATTTCCTAGTGTTTGTTTCTCATTAACACCAGTTTAAAAGATGGTGTCATCCTAAAAATGAATTAGTGTATTATAAAAAAGTGTCCGTCATCTCAGACGTCACGTAAGTCATATAAAGGAATATCCTTGTAAATAATGTGGAGGGAGACTTAGATAAATTGGAACGTAGGCTTTTAGTTTCATGAAGCTATGAATAAAAATTTGTAAATTTACTCTTGATCTAATGTACATTTTTATGTAGTCATTAAATTCTCTATTTAATCTATCGGTTTCTCACTGTAAATGTTTTTACTCTCAGTTGAATGCTGGGCACAGTTTGTAATGTATGTACACAAAGGTGTTTTTTTCTATCAACGTTGACTTTTTTGCACATTTTTGGAAATATTTAATTTGTACACTGATTTAATACTCTGACCAATTGTTGATGGGTGTATGAGAATCACGTATGTGTGCAATGTACTACTGTCCGGATGTATGGTTTTTTATTACCTTTGAGATGTTGCTATCAGTAACTGCACTGCTGTTGCTGCTTTACATGGAATATCTTGTGTATAAAAAAAATTAAAAAATTAGGCTATGATTACCTTGGTTAAGGAACTCAGGAGTTGAGCGTTGCTTACTAGTTCCATTTGTCTAACAACCTTCTGAATTTAAGAGTACTTGTAATTCCGTGTATGCATTGAATTTGTGTGTGTGTGTATGTGTGTATATATATCCCAGTAATCTTATTCCACAGTTTCATTTCTACATTTTTATGAACTTGTTTTCTAAGGGTACTATGTTTAGTTAGAATAATTAAATATATAAAAGCTTTGAGAGATGATTTACTAGATGAATATATTTTCAGCTGGCTGATGTTCAAAATATTTTTTTAATTTTTTGTTTTTAACCATTCAAAATGTATTTGTATTTCCAAAATCAGACACGAATTGTACTTAAAGCTATATTAAAAAACACTCCATAGGGATGACAGTGTGATTTCTCTTTTAAGAATTTTGTATTTAAAAAAAAAAAAAAAAAAAAAAA